AAAGTTCACATTTAAAAATCAATACGTTTGTGTAAACTCTCAGTCGTACAGGGATTAGTCAAAGCAAAGGAAGGTTTCTCACCCATCATCTCTACTTAGCAGGTTTTCCCGACGTTTTGTCCTTAAACCAAAGAACTTTTTAAAGGGAATGAAAACTCAGACCGCCCGTTGGAGATTTATAACCTATGGGTGCGGTTAGACACCCTAATCCTGAGGCTAACTTATAAACACATCTAGTCTGTTAAGATGTGGTAGGGAGCAGGTCTAACAATCCTAACTCATGAGGTCTGTGACATGCTAATTAGACCTGCTCCCTCTCCAACGTGCGGTCTGAGATTTTATTCCCTTGAAAAAATTCTTTGGATTAAGGACGGCACCTGCTAAGAAGTACAGATGATGGGTGAGAAACCTTCCTTTGCATTTAAGATTAATACTTGTGCTTTAGTTTGAACTGTTCAATTATTGTTCCAAAACTTTGTACATACATTTATACATATACCTGAGATCCTGTTTGGGGACAGGATGAACACAAAGCCCAGTTTCCACCAGCCTTACTTGGCTCTCTGCTGTGTCCACCAGCCTTGTTTAACCAGTAGCAGTTCCTACTTTAGTCCCTGTTGGCGCTAGTTCTATCCAGGTCGAGCTGGTACTGAAGTGTTCTAAGTGACAATGATCTTGGCCAGAGTATTACTGGAAGCCAGGAGTAGAGCCAAAAATAGGGCTATATTCTGAAAAATCGACCTTTTCTTGCTACTATACACGCTACTATCAGCAACTTCTGGCACAAACGAGTAACATCCACCCATTGGCCCTCATGTATGAAACTTGCGTACGGCCAAATAAGGGTGTAAATGATACGTACGCAAAATATTTACACTTTTCCGCATTTATCAATCTGGACGTGAGCGTACGATACGCAAAAAATATACGGCAGGTCTGGAAGTGGTGTAAATGTGTACGCTCATTTCAACATTCATTACAACACGCCAAACACGCATGAAATGCAAGATTTGGACAAAAATATAAATATTCCCACTCTGACAAGATTATAGGCACACCTCTCAAATTACAAATATGCAATTTTACGATGTTATGTTAGGGCTAGTTTGTGTAATTAAATAACGTGCAAGATGTCAAACTTAGTCTCCCACAAATGTGATTGTTATATGCACCTACAATCAGTGCGTAATGCCTTTGGTTCATGCGGGTCCAAGCAAAGACGCGCGCCACCGTGGAGCGCTGCGCGGGTCTGATCAGGCTCTGGGACATGTGGGGGGTACGCTCTGGTACCTCCCGGTACAAGTGTGCCACGTGGTCCTGGCTCGGTTCTCCACAACAGCCACAGGACCACAGTGTGCCACTGGTGGAGCAGCCCATGGATGAGAGACCATGGCCAGCAACGCCTTCGGCCTGTACAGCTCAGACAGACTCTCATTCAATCATTTTAAAATAATAATCACTTACATAATTTGAAGATAATTTTATTTCTTTATATTTTCTTTCGGATGCTTTGGTCTGGCGGTCCTCCCCCTGGGCTGCTGAGCACTTCTTCTATGGGCTGCGCTAAACGCCTTTTTGTTACCATTTTAAGGTCGCTCCCTTTTTTTTTCACTTGTAGGATAAATTAATAAATTCTTACTATTGGCCCAATATATCAACTGTTTGACATAATATAGCGTATTTTTCTTCGAACATGAATAAACTCACCTCTTCAAGAGTGCGTGTTGCAGGCCCCACGCTGTTTACAGATGCTGTCATTTCTTTACATATATTGTTTTTTGAGCCCCTTGATGCCACTTTTGAGAATTCCAAATAGTGAGACTTTATTCTTTTTCCCTCTTCATTCATAATGGTCTCAATCTCCTGCTCCTTGAAGTTTTTTTTCCTTAGCCGTTTACTCACTAACCAGACCCTGCGCCGTATACGTAATTACGCATATGTTTTGCCTCATTCACCTCTGGCAAAGCAATGTGGGTTTAGTTAGTTTTGTGCATAAAGCCCCATAAACGCAATTGATCTTGCTCAAAACTGCTCATCCACTGCCCTGTTCTCCGCATATAGCAGAGATAGGATGCAACGCGCATGTGGGAACTGGTTCATTCATTCATTCATTCATTCATTCATCATTATTTATTCATTTACTTCTAAATTTCAGGAGAGATTAGTGCTGCAGTGGGTCTAGACACAAGGGTAAAACGCGTATATATAATAGAGCGTATATACAGTGCCTTGCGAAAGTAATCGGCCCCCTTGAACCTTTCGCCACATTTCAGGCTTCAAACATAAAGATATAAAAAATAAATTATTAAATCAACGACAAGTGGGACACAATCGTGGGTGGCATCTCTGATTGCCACCCCCCTGACCCAGAAATGGATTAAAGGGTAGAAAATGGATGGATGGATGGGACACAATCGTGAAGTGGAACAAAATTTATTGGATAATTTAAACTTTTTTAACAAATAAAAAACTGAAAAGTGGGGCGTGCAATATTATTCGGCTCCCTTGCACTAATACTTTGTAGAGCCACCTTTTGCTGCAATTACAGCTGCAAGTCGCTTGGGGTATGTTTATCAGTTTTGCACATCAAGAGACTGGAATTCTTGCCCATTCTTCCTTCCAAAACAGCTCGAGCTCAGTGAGGTTGGATGGAGAGCGTTTGTGAACAGCAGTCTTCAGCTCTTTCCACAGATTCTCGATTCAGGTCTGGACTTTGACTTGGCCATTCTAACACCTGGATACGTCTATTTGTGAACCATTCCATTGTAGATTTGGCTTTATGTTTTGGATCATTGTCCTGTTGGAAGATAAATCTCCGTCCCAGTCTCAGGTCTTTTGCAGACTCCAACAGGTTTTCTTCCAGAATGGTCCTGTATTTGGCTCCATCCATCTTCCCATCAATTTTAGCCATCTTCCCTGTCCCTGCTGAAGAAAAGCAGGCCCAAACCATGATGCTGCCACCACCATGTTTAACAGTGGGGATGGTGTGTTCAGGGTGATGAGCTGTGTTGCTTTTACACCAAACATATTGTTTTGCATTGTGGCCAAAAAGTTTGATTTTGGTTTCATCTGACCGGAGCACCTTCTGCCACATGTTTGGTGTGTCTCCCAGGTGGCTTGTGGCAAACTTTAAACAATACTTTTTATGGATATCTTTGAGAAATGGCTTTCTTCTTGCCCCTCTTCCATAAAGGCCAGATTTGTGCAGTGCACGACTTGATTGTTGTCCTATGGACAGACTCTCCCACCTCAGCTGTAGTTATCTGCAGTTCATCCAGAGTGATCATGGGCCTCTTGGCTGCATCTCTGATCAGTCTTCTCCTTGTTTGAGATGAAAGTTTGGAGGGACGGCCAAGTCTTGGTAGATTTGCAGTGGTCTGATACTCCTTCCATTTCAATATAATTGCTTGCACAGTGCTCCTTGAGATGTTTAAAGCTTGGGAAATCTTTTTGTATCCAAATCCGGCTTTAAACTTCTCCACAACAGTATCTCGGACCTGCCTAGTGTGTTCCTTTGTCTTCATGGTTCTCTCTGCGCTTTAAGGGTTAGGGTTAGGGTTAGAATGCACACAGGTGCATTCTATTTATCATCATCAGTCATTTAGGACAACATTGGATCATTCAAAGATCCTCACTGAACTTCTGGAGTGAGTTTGCTGCACTGAAAGTAAAGGGGCCGAATAATATTGTACGCCCCACTTTTCAGTTTTTTATTTGTTAAAAAAGTTTAAATTATCCAATAAATTTTGTTCCACTTCACGACTGTGTCCCACTTGTTGATTCATGACAAAAAATTAAAATTTTATGTCTTAATGTTTGAAGCCTGAAATGTGGCGAAATGTTAAATGCCGAATACTTTCGCAAGGCACTGCATATATATATTTTTTAAACGGGAATAATTTCAGAAGTGTGTGCTTTTTGAAGCTTCCAAACAGTCTTCCTAGCCGACTTCCTGCTGACCTGTTGCACAAACAGGGCGTGGAACAGGCAGTTTCTGAATATTTCTAGGCGTGACTTTCATAAATACACTGGTTTCGAGTGCGGCATTTATCAACAGCCGCAGGTGCGTACGCTCAGATCTGTGCGTATCTCACACGTTTATAAATGCCACGTCGGATCTTGCGTAAAATATATACCCTTTTCTACGCAACTTTCATACATGAGGCCCATTCTTTCTAAAAGTTGGGGGGCTATGCTAAACATTTGACCTTGCAGAAGCGGGTATAGCACCTTTAACAGAGTTTTTAATTAAACAAAAATACTCAAAAAGGAAGGAGCAGTGGAGACAGGGAGCAGGCCGGCCAGAGAACAGAGCAAACAGACCAGAACTAGACAAGCACAGGATCTGGAAATTGCAACAGTTAAGTCGTGTAATCCAAAAAACCAGGTAAGTGAAAAAGACACTGTGTAGCACTACCGATATGATGGAATTATCCGGCAGAGGAGTGATGAGCAGACCAGGGAAATATACAGAGGTGAGTGGATGCAGGTGTGTTTCATCAGCAACCCAGCAGAGACCGGCCACGCCCCCTGTCTCACACATGCTCTGGAAAGAGAGTCCTGTTTTTGAACAGGAAAAAGATGCAGCAAACTGGCACCTTGTCAGGGCCCTGCAACAAGAGCTTCATGTGCTTGCACTTTTATTTAAACTGTTTAGTTGATCAATTTCACAGTGACAATTGTTTTCTGAACTTTTCTTGCTTGTTTTATTCCTGTACTCTTTAGCTTGATTTATGAATGTAATTGTCTGGTGTACACTCAAGACTTTTGTATTCCAATGTTGTTTTACTGCAAATAGCATATAATCTGAATCAGAATCAAGTCCCAATATTAGTGTGGCTGGAGCTAAATCTACTGCAGCTCATGTGTGGAACTCCAGCCTCTTTATCAAAAAAAAAAAAAAAAAAATCTCTTGATTGGATTTGTGAAAACAGATTTTTTCATGAGAATTGGAAGCTGGGTCATCTGGACACTGTAGAAACCACAAACCCACTGCACTATCATGAAACACACCACACATGAGCTGAGCCTGGGGCCAGACAGAGTCCAGACCGGGTCCGGACCTCCAGTACGATGTGGTTTTGTGCTGAGCTAGAGGAATGCAGGGGCCTCAGCTCAGAAGCAAGTGAAGCAGAGAAGTTTTCATCACCTCCTTCCAAGACCTTAAAGCAGAGATGGAAGCTCAGACCACAACAGAGAGGTCAGGGATATTGTTGTGGAGGTTTATAGTAGTATTAAGTTCTACCAAGATTTCCCAAGATTTGAACAACTTACGGACCACTGTTCAATCCATTATTTGGAAATGGAAGGATTGGTACCACTCCAAACTCACAAAGTATACTCCCCCCATAAATAGGATTTAAATAATTCAATTACATTTATTTTGTAAGGTCCAAAATCACAACAGTCGTCTCTGAAGTCGTAACAGAAATGGTCGCTATATCAAAAACAGAAAGTCCAAACAGTTGTAAAGATGTCCTGGTAAGTGTGGGGCTAAAAGGAGCTAATAACCTGACCTTGTGTATGTGTGGGGCTAAAAGTATCTAAAAACCTGACTGTGTGTATGTGTGAGGCTAAAAGTAGCTAAAAACCTGACGGTGTGTATGTGTGAGGCTAAAAGTAGCAAAAAACCTTACACTGTGTATGTGTGGGGCTAAAAGTAGCTAAAAACCTGACAGTGTGTATGTGTGGGGCTAAAAGTAGCTAAAAACCTGACTGTGTGTATGTTAGTATATTTCTGGGGACTTAGCAGGTATTGCTAACAGTCTGGTGTGGACATTTTTTTGGGAAATATTGGATTTTGAGGTGGTATTACTGTTTTTGGCTGCTGTAAACCCTACAGAAAGGGTGGTTCCCACAATGCACGTCCTGGTCTTGTGTCCCCACAATATGATAAAGACAAGTGTGTGTGTGCATGTGTGCGTGTGTGTGTCTGGGCTCCCACAGAAAACTGAAACTCTTGGAAATGAAGTTTTTGGACCAAAATCCGTATAACATACTTGTCTTTCACTTTTTTCTCTTGCAGTGTATTTTTGCGGTCTGTTCTAATAACTTTACCACTCATGCCTAATGGTGCGTTCAGACCAAACGCGATTTCTGCGGCCAAAGCGGCGGGTCTACATTGACACAACATGGGGGACGCGCGCCAAGGAGCGGCGAGAGATTACGCGGCGCGATTCGCGCGGCCAGAGCGGCGCGAATTCGAGCGTTTCGCGCGATTCGCGCGGCGTGTTTTGAGATGTCAAGCGTTTTGACGCGCGTTTCGCGCGATTCGTGCTTCCAACGCGGCCGCCGCTAGAGTTGAACAATGTTGAACTTTTTGGGAGAATTCGCGTGTGCCGACCAATCAGGAGCTTTCTCCTCCAGTGACGTAGTGACGCATTTCACTACCGGAAAAACACTAGTAGATGACAGCTATGGAGGACACATTAATTGCTCAGGTCGGTGCTCATTCTGAGCTATACAACACTGCGGACCACAGCTACCGGGACCGAAATAAAAAGGAGCTTGCTTGGAGGAGGGTTAGCGAGGTGGTTGGTGTCTCGGGTAAGTTATTTTAACTTTTCAATGTTGTAAATATTTCCCCGCGAAAAAAACTACTACTTTCCTGCTTACGAGTTGATGTGTTTATTCAGTGGAAGTTTGCAAAAAGCGGTGGAAGAATCTGAGGGACACATATGCTAAGGAGAGCAGGAAGGAGAAGGAGAAGGTGAAGAAGAGTGGTGCAGAAGCAGGGAAAGGCCAGACGTGGAAGTACCTTGTGGTCATGTCCTTCCTCGAGCCCTACATCACTCCCCGTGACAGCTCCGGGAACATGCCAAGGCGAAGGGCCGAGGAGGAGCAGACCACAGGGTACAACCACCCAGAAGAAGAGCCAGAGGAAGCAGCAGCAGCAGGGCTGTCAGGTGCTGAAGGTCGGTGTCATGCAGCAAACAGAGACCTCCAACAGTTGGAAAAAATACATTTCTTTCCTTTCTATTACCCACATTTTGCTGACTTTTACATTTATATTGCTTTCTGTGTATGCATTTCTTTTAATGCTTTCTTAACATCATGGCCAGGTGAAAATAGGCATTGGCTATTTTCAAACCAGGATAGATCTTGATCATGTGTTGTGTTAAATTTCACTTTTCCCTTTTATATGAACAAATCATTTAAATGTACATAATAATGTACATTATTATGTACATATAAATGTCATAAGCGCAATGTACACATGATATGAAATAATTGTATTTCTTGTTTTCTTCTGGCACAGACACTGCCACCACCACACAAGGTGAGACATCTTGGCCTGAGCTGCCTGAGCTGCTGCTGCTGCTGCTGCTGCTGCTGCTGCTGCTGCTGCTGCTGCTGCTGCTGCTGCTGCTGCTGCTACTGCTGCTGCTTCTTCCTCAGCCGGTTCTTCTTCTGTGAGGGCTGGACCTTCCCCTGCTTCTGCACCTACAGGTGTGGCTTTTTTTAATCATTGTTTTATTTTTATTCTTATTACAGGACTGTTCATATAAACAAAATGTTACTGCATAATATGCCAAAATTACCCAAGGGCTGTTACATCAGTGTAGACGACAAATTTACAGAGAAACGACAAGATGTCAAGGCACTACAGGTGGAAAGAAGCTTTGGTCTGATACAACACATCTTCCCTCTTTCTTTGATAAAAACATACTACTGAAATACCTTATGCTATAAAAGTACTGAACAAATACATGCAATGGTTGCCACAAGATGGCAGCTATCCTGTTTAATGCAGACAATAGAGTATTACTTTTTTACAGCCAATTTCAAATTTCATTGCGAAAATACACTTCAGAGATATTAGTTTGTAACTGTCGAAATTTGTGCTTGTGTGAGTAATTTCATTGATAACTGCAATGTTCAAGTTAATTGTAACAAACACACAACTTAAAAGTGTTTTACATGTGTTTAACTATGTCTACACACTCTGGCTTTAATACAGATATTATTTGCTCTCTTCATTTTGCTTTTTTGAAATACATGTTCCACTTTTTAACACTGTGATTGCCCTGTGTTCTTTGTTGGCGGCTCTACGGACGTGGGCCTCTTCCGAGCCCTCTTCCTTGGTGGGCCTTCAGAGTGGGAGCGGGAGCTGCTGGAGACTCTACGGACCAAAGCAGCCGCACCGCCCGACTACTCAGAAGAACATCAGTTCCTGCTCTCTCTCTTTCCTCTCCTGCAAAGGGTGGCACCAGAGTCAAAAGAATTTGTGAAATTCAAAATGTACCAACTTTTATATGAAAGCAGCACCGTTCTGCTTAATTTGGAACCATTGGCCAGTACAGTTTTTTTTACCTAAGGTGACACCTTTTGCAGGGGAGGAAACAGACATGTGTCCCTTTCCTCTTCCACCGCACCTCCTCCAAGCAAGCTCCTTTTCATTTGTTTATATGTACATTTCATTTATTTTTCATTGTTTGTTCCTTTTTTTATAAAGAAAATATTTTTCAAACCTCATGTGTTCTACTTCAAGCCAACCATTACTACCTTTCATATAATACTGACAGAAAATGCTATTCTATATTTGTACATTTACTTTTATAAGAGCTGACTGGGTTTTATAGAAGATGAAATAACGAACACTTAAAGAGCGATACAGTAGTTGACAGTATTTTTTATTCATTTCACCTTTTACTGTTTTAACAACCTTGTAATTATGGAAAAGCTTGAATGTGCATATGATTAACCTGAAGTTGGAGTGGAGTCGCAGTGGAGTCTGGCAGTCATTACCTAGAAACAGAAGGTATACAGGTGAATAGAACAGTGCAAATCAATATGGGTTTGGACTATGGCCAGATGTGGGTCAGTCTTGTGGTGGACATGACTACTCTGTGGGCTGCCACGGCAGTGCTCCCTCCTCACTGAAGTGGGCCATGAACACTTTCCTTATGTCCACTGCTGGCTTCCAGGCGGCCATCCGCTGCACGCCTGGAAGTGGTTCTTCACCGGCAGCAGCTCCCCTCGGTGCAGGAACCTGCCCATCTCCAGCCATCCTCATGGCTGGAGATGGGCAGGGCGCATTAAATTGCAGCGCAGTGAAAAGGCCTCATCTGCCACGAACACATGGGGCTGGGGTCCTCTGTGGTCAGCTCCAGGTATGCACTGGTCAGGAGGCAGGTCGAGTGTGCCCTCGCGCAGAGCCTCACCAAAGGCAGAGTTGGACACGATGCCTCCATCGCTGGATCTGCCGTACCCTCCCACATCAATCACCCTGAACCTGTACTGGGCATCCACTACAGCCAGGAGCACAAGGGACTGGTGCCCCTTGTAATTAAAAAAACATGGACCCAGAGTTGGGGGGTGCCTTCACAGCCACATGCTTCCCATCAATGGCCCCACAGCACAGAGGGAAGTTCCATCGGACCTCCACTCCTCTGCTCCAGGCACAGCCATGAACTCCTCCACGAGGCAGTCCCAGATGGCTGCCACCACATCTGGGATGAGCATGGAGACGGTGGATATGCCCACTCTGAAGCTCCCCGCAATGGTCCTGTAGGAGTCCCCAGTGGCAAGAAACCTGCAATTACAAAATGATATGAACATATTTATCACAATTACATTCATAAAAATCACGTGACAAAACTTGTGTAGCATAAAATACGTTAAACTAGTAGACAGTAAACATCATACACAGTAATCATAGACACCAAATTGTTGCATAATACTGTTTTCTGAGCTATTACATTGTGGATTGTGATTGAAAAATGACACACTTTGTAAGTATTTATGAATTCTGAATGGGGTAAAAAACACTAACCGCAGACAGATGGACAGGCGCTCTTCAGCTGGAATAGAGCGCCTGTAGTTGGTGTCCTGGTAGGAGATCCTAGCGCCAATGCGGGTCAGTAGGTCGTCAAACTGAGCCAGGGAGAGACAAAAGTACCGCTGAAAGCGACCCTCATCCGAGCGCAGCTCCCGGAGCAAATGGTGAAACTCACCAAACTCCAACCGTCTACGGACTATCTGATGAATCCAGACACGTCGTCGATTCGCCCTTTGACGACGTGTCTGGCTTTATTTATCAGATAAAGCAACTCCTTCGCTGACATCCATGTTGGGAAGCTACAGGCAAAAGAGACAAGCCCCGCCCCTAAACGCTCCCAACGCTCTGTGACAGCGGCTGCCCTCTAGTGTCCTGGCCGCGCGGCCAAGTTTCTCTGTGACAGCGGCTGCCACAATTTGTCACAAGCGGCTCAAGCCGCGCGATAGACGCGATTTGGCCGCAGAAATCGCGTTTGGTCTGAACGCACCTTAAGGACTCCATCATGTGCAGCTCCGCTTCTCCGCATTCTCAGTAATCCTTCCCTTCTGGATCATATTTCTAATCTGTCCAAACACTTTTCCGATTCCAAACACTTTAATCGCCTCAATAATCAATGTTTTAGTGAAATTCTCTGTTTTCACCATCAAGAGGATACGAAGATACCAGAGAACAGAGGAAGACCAGAGAGAGACCAAAAGAGAAACCAGAGAAAGACCAAAGAGAGGGACCAGAGGAAGACCAGAGAAAAGGGAAAGAGACCACTTTGTAGTAGAGCACAATTGAAAAAGCTGTTTATTTGGATTGGACAATGCGTATTCAAGGACAGCAGGAGCTGTAAATACACCAGTTTGCAGCTGTGTAGCTAATTTCAGTGATTATCTGTGATTATCCTATACACACTCATTCTGGTCTCTCTACGGTCTCTCTCTGGTCTTTCGCTGGTCACTCTCTCAACTATGGTCTCATTATTGTCTCAAAAACATGTCTTGATGTAGGCCAGTAGAACAGACTTTCAGACATCAGAAATAAATTGGCCTTTCTGTGGTTTGGAAAAACAACAGGACAGTCTCTCTTTCTCAACATTCTCAAAACTGTAGCCCTTCTCTTATCCATGAAGACCTCTGCTCCGGTTATCAACTCCTATCCTTCATCTCTTTGATATTTGAACATGGGTGGAGCCTGTCACACACAAACAGGTCAAATCGATGCCTTTATCCCAGTGAGGTCACCATTCTCGCCTCCCGCTGCTGCAGAGATGAGCCTACGCAGCAGGAAACTCAAAACGTCTCAAAATATGACCTATTTTTACGGCAGCAACACCACATGGGGTTGGAATTGTCTATGTTGTATCACTATATTTTCTCAATCAGGCAAGTTACATCAAAAACAATTACATTATTGTCATTAGTATGTTGTTGTAAGTTATAATTTTAAAGAATCATATGTGGCTGAAATACATTTTGGGTGGTTGCATTTGAATTCACCTTTGGCGCCAGGAGGAAGCATGGGCATTGTTTGAAGTTTGGAGTCTTTGGTTTACTATTTACATGTAAACAGGAGGGTTACTCTACATGCTAAACATTCCATTGTTCCTTTATTCTGTTTGTTCTTATTACGTGCCAGAGAGTCCAGGGTGATAGCACGTAACATCTGAATAACCAGGTGTGGAATGATGTAAAAGAATGAGGGTGAGAGGTCGTGGACTATACGTAGAAAAATAATAGGTTTATTGTACAAAAACTCAGGGTCTCACAATAACAAAAATATACTAGAAATGTGCATAAACAAAGGTTTAGCGTTGGACGCAGACGTCAGCTCCCAGTTGGGCCTGGGGCCTTTTTATGCCTAGGCAGATTGGCATCCGCCGTGCCGGTCATCAGCCAATGGGTGGTGAGGAGGCGGCACAGTGCTGAAGGGGGTGGAGGCAAGGAAAACTACAAACGGCAAAGCCCATAACAGTTCTTCCATTCATATATGCATATGATGAAGGTGTGTCTTATTTTCTACCAAAAGCAAGTTATGGTTTGTTCTAGGACAGGCTGACCAAGTATAAAGATACGTCTGTTTGTGTGCGATTTGAATCCGTGTACCCTCCGATCATTAGTTATTCCGTTTCAAAATAAAATCAGAAAAACAAATTACGTGGTTGTTTTATTGTATTTCCATTTTCTAAATTAAATTGGAAAATCAAAACATTCTAAATGAAATATTCACCCATTTCTTTGCTATGCAGTGGAAACAAACACTACTAAAACAACTTCCATTATTTTGTTTGATATGCTACCGGAAATGATGAGTGGTGAGAGACGGAAACAAATGCAAGCTGCACTCAACTCAACTCAACTACACAACAACAACTCGTGCTGTTGTTGAGCCCGCCCCTAGGCCCGAGCTCCAGGGGCAAAATGCTTACAGCACCTGGTATTCCCAGGTGGTCTCCCATCCAAGTACTATGGGGAAAACTTTGTGCGCGCTGCTCTCAAACAGAGAGAGCCGGCTTTCTCCATTCATTCTGGATTACACACGCACTCGGTAAGTCTCCTCTGATAAACACAATGTTTTTGTGCTCGTTCTTTATGTTTCACTCCATAAATCTATCATATTGTGCGTAGATCGTTCACACACGTCTGTAGTTTAAATTTCGAGTGTGTAGTGCGCTGTTTATGATTGTTTACCTCCGTGTGATGTGTTTGTTGCTGCTTCTGCTCGTAGATCTCTCTGTTTGGATCAATATTGTTAAGAAAACACTTTCTCTGCGTTGTACAAACAATCTGTATTCACTGTATTCTACTGTATACAGTAATGCAGTTTGTTTATGTCTGGTTGTAGTAGTATTTCCAGCGCTAGCTAATTATTATTAGCTAATTATTGTTGCTGTGTGTACTATCTATATGTATTTCACATTTCTATAGTTCAGCAACACATTGAGTTGAAAATGAATTATATGCAGTTAGTTGACAATGTATTAGTGTTTTACCAGTTCATATTTTCCTTCTATAACTGTACTTACTGTATCCCAGAGCCTCATGCTGCTAATGTCCAGATGTAAACATACAACTGTATATGTCTTCTCTAGATTATACAGGATTCATGCTTCTTTATAATGCTAAATTTAATTATTTTATTCTTTATTATGCTAAAGATATATGCATTATACATACTTCTCTATCATGCTATAGCTAGATATTTTATGATCTTTTTTTGTTGTTCCAGACAATATGAAGACATTTTCATTCTTTCCTGGCCGCGTCACTGTGATTTTTCTCAAGGGCCCACGTGGATTCCTGCTGCAGGACCCTTCGGAGGAGGCGAGGAAGATCAGGGACGACCCGTCCATGAGGGAGTGCGGTGCTCCTCTGAGGGAGGAAGTGGTGAGGGAGAACGCCCTCACTCTGGTGCGAGTGAGAGGAGGTGATGCCTCAGACAAGGCTGAAGTGCTGGGGGAGTACATCGCTCACAGCAGGCAGTAAGACCAGCACCGTGCCTGTTGTCACCATGCCCCCTGCAGCAGTGAACCCTGCAGACTCTCATGTCACCGCTGTCTGAGGAGGCCATAGAGAAGGTTGTGCAGCGGATCTTGGAAAAAGCAGCAGCAGCCTCCAGCAAATAAACCCCACACAAAGAAATGCCTGTCTTGTGGCCAGCCAAAATCCAAATATGAGGGCGATGGCAGCTCCATCCACGAGTTTTACCAGCCGGGTCCTACCAGGTATTTCTATTGCTCCACCAAGGTCTATAACACCTATCGCACAGAGGGTTTGACCAACTCCAGGATGCCATTCCAGACTTTATGGACACTGAGTTCTACCAGAGAGAGCTGGAGGCCACGCAGCAGAGAGTGAATGAGCGGCAGGAGAAGAAAAGGAAGAGAGATGAGTCTCCTGCCACAGGGAGAAAGTGCGGGTTCTGCAAACTGCAGCTGAAGCAGGGACCAAACAGTCCTCACATTCATACACAATTCCCTGGTCTGTCAGGAAAATACATCTACTGCCCTGCCAAAGTATTCTCCCTGTACAAGGACCAGGGGATGGAGACGCAGATGTTCCAGCAGCAGTCTCCTTTTTATGACCGGGAGAGGGAAAGGTGGCGTGTAAATAAATGAGCTATCTGCTGTCTATTGGTGCTATTGATATATATACTATATTATATACCTGTCTGTTCATAAATGTTTATAAATATTCTAAATATTATGTAAATATATACTTAATATTGATTATATCTAAATGATGTAATTTCATTTGTAAAATCTGCATCTACAGTTCTGTATAGTCAGCTCTCAGCCGTCACAGTCACAGGGCTCATCACACAAATACTAGTTTAAGAAGATAAAGATAGCATGTTGTTGTTTTTCTTCTAAGTGTATTTCTTAAATTTGTAAATATCTCTTTTTTTCATCTGTTCACAATAAATATATTATAATGTCATACATTATTGAAGTCTTTCTTTTTATTGATCATATTTCAGGGCAAACAGTAGTATTTGACAAAACAATCTGTATAGAAAATAGAGTTTCAGTTCAGTGTCAGTGGGATCCAAGCAGCTATTGTTGAACTTGTTCAAAGCACCCCCTGCAGAGTTCTCACCTCTGGGATATTCCAGGTGTGTTTGTCTAAATCCCTTGATCAACACTTTTCAACACCGAGATCAGACGAGATCGGGCATTCTCAAGGTAGTATGGCCGTAAGCACAGGGGTATGGAGCAGCGTGCCTCCTGACCCTGCTGCTGCGGTCCTCTCCTCCCCCAGAATGAGCGCTCTTGGGCGGATGGCAGGTGCGCGGTCCCCCGGTGGTTTCCAAGGGCCATAACTTTCTGGTCCTTTATCCCCTGCGCGTCAAATTCACACCGCGGGTGCCCCGGGACCAGGGGAGTCCCTGTGTCCCACCCCCGTGTCTCTACCCTCCCTGGCTCGGCTTTGAGGAGCCCGGAAAGCCGGGCTTCCTTCCCCCGGGAATGAGCGCTCAGGCCTGGGTCTGAGCGGGAGCAAAGCCCTCCCCGGTGATAGCCCAGAACCGGAGGAGTGCGTGGGTGAAAACCCTGTGTCTCTAGCACCCCTGGTTTGTTTTTGACAAGCCCTGGAAGCCGAGCTTCTCCTCCCCCAAAATGAGCGCTCTTGGGCGGATGGCAGACGCGCGGTCCCCCGGTGGTTTCCAAGGGTCATAACTTTCTGGTCCTTTATCCCCCGCGCGTCAAATTCACACCGCGGGGACCAGGGGAGTCCCACCCCCGCGTCTGTAGCCCCCCTTCCGCGAGGTCTCTTCTCTCTTCCGGTGTCGCAAATAATAATAAAACAAAATATTAGTAATGCCATAATTCTTTTGAGAAGAACTAAAAACTAGAGCCAAAACAAACACATTGATATTGAAGCATAAAGGATTAATTTTTTTATTCAAGTTTAGAAAAGGAAAAGAGCAATAAACAAATGGAAATTTTGATTTTCTGATTTTATTTTGAAACGGATTCTTAATATCATTCATTTTCTACCCCTTTGTTAGTCCATTTCTGG